TACATTGATTATTCTGCCAAAAAAAATGTTGTTTACATAGAAAACATGTAGGAAAACTGCATGTGGCTTTTGAGCAGGAATCTGTGTGTTTATAACTTTATTATGCTATACAATTTGCATAGACACATGGATTTCTGTGCAGAAAACCTAAGGAGCATGTCTTCATATGTTTTCTCTAGAAACAACAGTACAGTTGGCAAAAATCAATGTGTTTTGCACAAATACATGAGATGATGTGACTTACAATGTTTGGTAAAATGGAAGGCAGAGAGTAAGGAGTATATTTCCATGTTTGGCATTGTAAAGAAAAATCAAGGAAGTGAAAATTTTAAATATGGTAATAAATACCACTCACCAAGAATAGTTCAAGATATTGGTTTGGATATATAATCCTCTAAATCAGGGGTAGGCAACCTTTCCCCTTTAAGAGCCGAGGGACTTCAGCTCCCAGAAGCCTCAGCCATGTTGGCCAACAGCTCCTGGGATTCTGGGAGCTGAATTCCCTTGGCCCTTAAAGGGGAAAGGTTGCCTACCCCTGCTCTAAATGACTTCAGCTCAACATGCCTTTTTCTTGTGTCTTATACAAAGATCGCATATTGACTGATTATGGACTACTATGTTTTCAGTATGTGCTCTTGAGCACCAAGATAATAACCATGAGTTATTGAACTCCCCTCCCCTGCATATCTCTTCCTGTATGTATCCTAAATTTGTTCCTGAGAATCAAGGATGCCTCCAGAGTACATTTGGGGAGTATGAAAGGGAGGGAAGAGGAAATTCCCATTGCTCTAGTAGGGGTCCACTCATATAGCATTGAATTTGTTTGCTCCAGCACTGTTGCTCTACAAGGTCTGCAGTCTGCTCTTTAGTTGTAATAAGGATTTCATAGTGAGTGGAAAAATAAGCATGATCAGGAAAATCATGGAGGCAAAGGCAAAGTAGTTGGTGAGTAATAGGACTTCTACAATTGATACTGGAGCCTTCTATGGCAGGAATGCATTTATTTGGATTAAATTTTTAAAAAAGTATGGGTATGTTCCACTTTATGAAGATCTTCCATATGTCTAATTGATTTTTTCTGTATAAAGAGATTTAAAGTTATAACTTTTCATTGAAGCAGTTTCAATTTATTTGGGAGGTAAGGAGGAACCTGTTATGAAACAAAAAAACATTTGTCACTTTGCATATAATAGTGACCCTTCCCCCCCTCATAAATACTTTTAAAAATCTGATAGTACTTAACTAAACCTTGATTTAGCATCATGTAGATGAGCCTCTGCAAGCCAGGTAGTCATAAGAAAGGGTCTAGTAAAGTTTAGTTTCACTTTTCTTGTTAACTGTTACATGGGAACCGGGAATTGCAATTTCAAATTCTAGTCACTTGCTAAATGAGACAACTACAAAGACATAATTTTGGTAAAAAACCAAAATTCCACGTTAGTGTGTAATGACAAGCTAAGAACTAGGGAAAAGTGAAATTAAACTTGGTTAAGTAACTTCCTTCTAGCTGTACAGGAAAAAGGGAGAGGAGGAGAGAGGAGACTTTCAGACATTCATTCACATAGTAGTAAGTCATGCTCTACTGTAAAGTATAAGTACGGTATGTCTATTTGATGTTTTCAGAATTATGATAGAACATCCTGTTGCTTTTTTTAAGAGGTTCAGCAACAGCTATTTTTCTAGTACCTTCTCCCTTTTAATCACCACTGTATAATGCCATTATGCCATCAGAATGTAATCTGTGTCATAATTAATTTTTCACTTAACACTTATAACTGACAAATTGCTGATCGGAATATTTAAAGGTGGAAGCTTTTGCTACATAGCACATTCAAGAATGCCCAACATAACAAACATTCTCTTTTCCTTTCAGTTATCAGATTGTGTTGAGATTGGGGACCTTCAAACTTCTCAGAATCATGTATTTCTAAATCTTTTGTCAAAGGGATTAAAAGGAGGAGGTATAGTAAATTTCTTATTTCTTGTTATTACTCATCTCTTTATATTCCATCTAAGTTAAAATTACAAAAATAGATTTCTATGTATTGAAATAAAATTACAGTTTATTCTTCTATATTATGAAGCCCATTTATTTAGTAGTTAAACTGGTGAGTTCAGTCATTTTCCATTTAAGAGTCTATAAGTAATCTTTGCAGTTTCAGTGAAATCTCTTTCTGAGTAAACCTGCTTAGGATTTCACTGTACGAGCTGTTATTAGCTATCCAGTACTAGGCTACTGGAGGGATGCAGTGGCTCAGGTGGTTAAGATGATGACTGTTGATTGCAAGATTGGCAGGTTGGCAGTTCAAGGCCCAGGTGCTGCATGATGGGGTGAGCTCCTGTCACTAGTCCCAGCTTCTGCCAACCTAGCAATTTGAAAGCATGCAAATGCAAGTAGATAAATAGGTACCACTTCAGTGGGAAGATAAACAGTATTCTGTGCAATCATGCTGTCCACATGATCACAGTAGTCTCTGACAGTGGAGATGAACACCGCTCCCTACGGTCAGACACAACTTGACAACTTTGTAAATGAGGAATACCTTTACCTTCACTATGCTACTAGTTAAATATCATATATTAAATTAAAATAATTTCAATTAGGATTTATTTTATTGACTTTGTTTTATTTTTACAAAGTTTTATTTTAGGTTATTATTTTAAAATATTTTAGATACATTCCATTTCACAATTCTGATATAATATACTTTATAATAAATGTTATCAATGCATGTCGTAAGATACATACCACAACTTAGAAGTTTTTAAAGCATAAGCATGACAGATCAAAGGTAAATCATACTGTGCTAAAGGATTCTCTTGCATACATGTATGGTAAAATTTTCTTCTGTTGATTCTATAACATTGGGTTGGATCCATTAATTTAGATGCATCTGGTTTAAATGGAACCAAGTCTGCATCTGTTTGCACCTAAATTCAGACAAGGGCCTAAAGCCAGTTGTGAATTCCAACAAGAGCAGATCCTCTGAAACAATTGCTGTATGGAAAGAAAAGCATATAAATGCTGTTCATTCAGTTAGCCTGCCCAAATTGGGATTAGCAGTTGAATTTAGCCTTAACAGTGCAATGCCTACATTAAAGTTCCACTGAATTTTTGAGGCTTGTAGTACATAGGCCAACTCTTTGCTTGGGGTTACCCAGGCTGGTCCAAAGCAATGTTGAAGCATGAATTAGCATAAAATCTAACTCAGACATAGGTACTTAAACAACTATTTAAGTGCATGCATCAAAGACCCAGTTAGATCTACAGCTCCACATCAAACAAAATAATGTTGACTGGTGCTGAATTTTGTAGGATATAGGTTGAGTCTCTCTTATCTGGAATTTCAAAATCCTTCAAAATCCAAAACTTTTTGACAGATGGCTGACATGGGGGGGTTGCAGACTGCCAGAAATAGTGCAAATTGAGTCCACTTTAAGGGTTAGGGTTAGGGATAGGGAATCATGGGAACTGTATTTTATTGTGGCAGCAGAGCTCTCTTACAGAGAAGGCTCAATGTCTCAGAAAAAAATACAGTTCTCATGATTCCCTAGCACTGAGCCAGGGCAGTGCCTCAATTTAATGTGCACTATTTCTGGCAGTCTGCTTATAGTCATAGTGACACATTTGCTTTTTGATGGATTTTGTATTTAGACTTGGGTCCTTTCTCCAAGATATCTCATTATGTTTGTATATTCAAGTACAGGTATATTCCAAAATAAATCTAAAAAAAATCCAAAACACTTATGGTCCCAAGCATTTCAGATAAGGAAGATTTGGGCTGCATCTGCACTGTAGAAATAATTCAGTTTGACACCATTTTATCTGCCAGAACTCAATGCTGTGGAATCCTGGGAATTGTAGTTTTGTGAGACTTTTGGCCTTCTCTGTCAGAAAGCTGTGATACAACTAAATTCCCACAATTCCACAGCATTGAGCCAGCCAGTTGAAGTGGTGTCAAGCTGGATTATTTCTGAAGTGTGGATGTATCCTTAGCCTGTAAAGCACTTAAGAGTTAAATGTTAAGTACAACCATCCTGTGCTTATTTGCTCAGAAGTAACATTTGATGAGTTCAGTGGAAAATACTTTTAACTGTGTGTATGATTGCAGCCTTATCTTGTAATCTGTAATTATAGATTTGCAGGAAGAATCTGAAACCATAAAATGATGCAGTGTTATGAAAGATGAGTTCATTTGATTCTTCTGAAATAAATGTTTTTCCTTCTTTTACATATCTAGGTCGTTTTGGACAAACAACCCCACCACTTGTTGATTTCCTTAAAGATATTTTAAGAAGATATCCAGAAGGAGGGCAAATTCTTAAGGTAAAACATAAAATAATAGTAAATACGACTTTTCAGTGTTACTTGTAGGAATGTAAAATGTGTGGAAATTTTTGAAGTTACATAAGAAACTTGATTTTTTCATGTTGTTTTTTCTCCCGGAAAAGGATTTTTTTTTTTAAAGGAAAATGCATTATTAACATCCTTTACAGATTCAAAGTTACTTCATTAATTTGGGAACTAAAAAAGCACTGTATATGAATTGGTTCTCATAAAATTGAGATGTTGTATTCTTCAGAATATAATTACAGATTGAATTTACTAGTGTAAACTGGATTGACAGTTTTTTTTAACTATTAGAAGTGTATGATTGTTAATGATAGAATGTGACACCCCCTCCCCCTAACATACCTTTTAAGCCAGATAATGCCCCATCTGAAGCATTTCCAAGGAGCTGCTGATTGGGGTGCTGGGAGATGGTGACTGAAGCATTGTCTCGGTCATAAGGTGCACCAAGAGAAGTAGAAGCAACAGAACCCGGGGGAGGGGTCTCTCCAGCTGCTGTCTCAGTGCCCATTCAGCACTGTGACCTGGAGAATGCTGAAGTCATCATTTCACACCTTTTAATTGAGGTGCTGCCTGATTTAAGGGAGTTTGACTTTGCCTTCCTTTGAAGCTGAGACTGTGACTTGTCCAAGGTCACTCTAAGTTTCCACGCTCGAGTGGGGAGTTGAACCCTGGTCTCCAGAGTCATAGTTCAACACTCAAACCACTATGCTACACTGGCTCTCCTGTTTTTTTTTCTTTTTTTTTTCTTCCTTCTTTTTCTCCATGAGGAAAGGATTTAAGAAGTTTTTATTTGTGGGTTGTAAGAAGTAAATTTCCCATTTTTTAAAAATATGAGAAACTGTAATTTGTGCAAATAGTATTTTTAAAACTAGGTTATTGGACTAGAATTACTTGCAACTTGCATATTAATCTTCTAATATCTTCCTCTCATGCATGAAGAACTGAGAAAGAGAAGGGAGAGATTGCAAACCTGGGGGTTGTTGTAGCTTGTGTAAATAATGACAATTCATGCTTTGTTGTGCCTGAAATGGACATATAATTTGGTTAATGAACTTGCTACTTTTCTACAAATGTAAAATTTCTGGAGATTTTGAAAAACATGAAAAAACTGGTGTTGGTTACATCTTGGGCTTTAAAAATAACCACCCTAACACAGCAACTATAAATATAGTAATCTAGATCCTGATGTGATTTAACCACTTGAACAATACATTTGCTTTTGTCTTCAGGAATTGATTCAGAATGCAGAAGATGCTGGTGCCACAGAGGTTAGGTTTCTATACGATGAGACTCAATATGGGGTTGAGTCTGTCTGGTCTAAAGACATGGCTCAGTACCAAGGTAAGATCTTTTCTATATCTTTTTTTTTCTAAGAAGATTCATTCATGGTCCTTTTTGTTTATCAAGGTGACTTTTCTTATCAAAGTTGACATGTTTTAAACTTGCACTGTGAGCTAATTTATTTATCTTGTTAATAATAGCTTAGATTTACAGTGAAAAGTAAATTAGTCACAAGTGACTAGATAAATTATTAAATCTCCCATTCATACAATTCTTTCAGAATTACAATCAACTGAGATTGAAGTCTACTTAAGAATAGCTTAGTATTTTTTCATTACTTAATAGTTGTATTCTTCATAAACAGTTTTGCTATGTTTCCTAGTGACTTCACATTTAAAAAAAATACTTTGTTTTGTCTTGTTTAGGTCCTGCACTTTATGTATACAACAATGCTGTTTTTACTCCTGAGGACTGGCATGGTATTCAGGAGATAGCAAGAAGCAGAAAGAAAGATGATCCGCTTAAAGTTGGAAGATTTGGAATTGGTTTTAATTCAGTTTATCATATTACAGGTATTGTAGCAGAGATTTTTTTAAACAATTAAATTGTAATGTTGCATTTTGAAGGGTGTATGCACCATTTGTGTATGCACCTTGAGTTTAAAAAGCAGTGTGTTGTTTGAGCTAGTTAACAGAAATAAACGTTGTCCATCAGTGGTAGTTTCACTTTAAAACAATAAGGGGATACTTTGCAGAATATATTCAGCCAGGGCATTGAAAAGGAATGTGGGCATTGTGGTGCTGAATCTTCTTCAGTTTTTAACACTTTCTTCTTTATATTTTTAGAGTGAACATTTGTTAGTTTGTTGTATGGGAGATATTCAAGCACTTTTGAAGACTTTTTCCCCTCTGTTATTGCAGACTTGTATTGCAAATGTGTTGCTACAGTGTTATACATGTTTTATCTTTTATTTTGTAGATGTCCCTAGTATATTCAGTGGTGACCAAATTGGAATGCTTGATCCACATCAGACGCTTTTTGGGCCCCATGAATCAGGTCAATGTTGGAATCTCAAAGATGACATCAAAGAAATTAATGAGTTGTCTGACCAATTTACACCTTTCATTGGTGTGTTTGGAAGCACTAAAGAAACCTTCAAAAATGGACACTTTCCCGGTACGTTCTTCCGCTTTCCTCTTCGCCAACAACCTTCCCAGCTGAGTAGCAATATTTATAACAAGGAAAAAATTCTAGAATTGTTTGACTCATTCAGAGCAGATGCAGACACAGTTCTTTTGTTCCTTAAAAGTGTGCAAGATGTTTCCTTACATGTTAGGGAAGCTGATGGGACAGAGCGACTCATTTTCAGAGTTACTGCCAGTGAAAACAAAGCTTTGAAGCATGAGAGACCCAACTCCATCAAGATTCTGGGAAGTGCAATAAACCAGTATTGTAAAGGCATTCCAAGTAATAGCATAACATGTGTGACATACCACATAAACATTGTTTTAGAAGATGAAAGTATTAAAGATGCACAAAAGACATCCTGGTTGGTATGCAACAGTGTTGGGGGAAGAGGAATATGCAACGAACTGGATTGTTTGGCTGATGACTTGAAGTATATCCCAACAATTGGTATAGCTATGTCCTTATCAAATGATGGAGAGGGAAAAGGAGCTGTGGCAGAATTTTCAGGAAGAGCATTTTGTTTTCTTCCTTTACCACCTGGTGAGGAAAGTAAGACAGGTCTCCCGGTTCATGTTAGTGGTTTTTTTGGCCTTACTGATAACAGAAGGAGTATCAAATGGAGAGAGATGGATCAGTGGCGAGATCCAGCAGCCTTGTGGAATGAGCTTCTTGTGGCTAATATGGTCCCCAAAGGTTATGCCACCCTTATATTGGAGGCAATTAAGCGAATGAAAACAGAAGATAATTCAGATTTTCCTCTGACAGCTGACAGAATTTACAGACTGTGGCCACAAAAGAACAAAATAAAAGTTCATTGGGAGTCAATCATAGAACCTCTTTTGAAAGAGTTATTCCAGAATGAAGTTATTTACTCCATTAGTGATAAATGGATAAAGGTGGAAGAAGTATATTTCTCAGAAATGGATGAAAGCTTGGAATACACCCAGGCTGTATTAAACTACCTCCAGGACTCAGGGAAAGAAGTTGCTAAAGTACCAGACAATATTGCTAAAGCAGTTGACCTCATTTTTTCTAATACAAAACCTGTGAAAAAAGTGATTCCTGGTACAGTACGTCAAGTGTTAAGAAAATCTGGACATAAGGGATCTACTGATGAAAAGCTTCATATCTTAGACTTTGTGCTTAGTGATGGAAACTACAATGAGCTTATTGGACTTGAGCTATTGCCCTTACAAAATGGAAGTTTTACTTCATTCTCTTCATCTGCATCAGATCAAGATGCTATTTACATAACTTCAGAAAGTTACCCAAGGTATAACATAAATATTTATACTCTATTTTACAGTTGTGTATATTTTTTAAAAAATTGAAATGATAAAACTGAAATGATCTTGCACATCAGTATCATATAGCCTTGCAAGCTTGTCTGTCTTCCTTCTGCTCTGGAACAGCTTTGTCTGTGCAGGCTGCAGAGAAAAGAGGCTGCAGAATTTAGAAAGAGGAGAAAGTTTAACCTGCAACTTGATAGCTGGAAGAAAGGCCCCAAGTGACCCTTTCCCCATGGTCTTCAATGGGGAATTGCACTGTTGTTCTTTGCGGTAGGAAGGCATAGCATCTGCCTTTATGGCAGTAGACAGTGCTGTGATCCCCCCCTACTATTAGAGCTATTTGCAGCTGACAAAATGTATGCTAAAGGAGAGGAAAAAAAATGTGCCATGGAAACAAGGGGTCCAGAATAGATGTAGGTATACAAAATGTGATGTGAGAACAGCATAACTATTGTCTAAACAGAAACAATTGAGTGACATTGCAGTGCTTTGAGACTCTTTCTGAATACTTCTTTTGCTTTTTACACAAAATCAAACCTGCTAATTTCTAGGTTTTGTTTTCACACATGGTCCTGCCATTTTGAAGGTTTCACATTATGAGTAGGACAGATGAGAGACAGTGGAAGGTGGCAGCTGAGGCAGTGAATTCAAATTAGGGCTTCAAGGAGAGAGGAGAAAAAACAATGAAGGGAAAGAAATGGCAAGAGGCAAAAAAGTATGGGGAAAATTTGAGGTTGGCACTTGCCTACACACTCAGTTGCAACCTATCTTTATAACCATGTTTACAGTCTATCTTCATAACCACATTCTCCCATTTTGTGAGCATTTTGCTAATCTCCTTGTCCATACTAAAACTATATAAGAAATCAGTGGATGCCATTCATATATCTCTGTTTGTTCACAAGACATAATCTATGTTGGGAGCATATGGCATGTATGAGGTGGAGATGGTTAACCATTTCCAGGAGCCCTGGTGGCGCAGTGGTTAAATGCCTGTACTGCAGCCACTCACTCATAAACCACAAGGTTGTAAGTTCAGTACTAGCCAGGGCTCAGGCTTGACTTAGGCCTGCATCCTTCCAAGGTCATGAAAATAAGTACCCAGCTGTTGGGGGGCAATGAACTTACAATTGTAAACTTCTTAGACATCCCATAGCGCGATATGAAGCAGTATATAAATGAAGCTGCTTTGCTTTGCTTCCCCCCCTATACATTTATTCCAGTTAGAGCCTTGCTCCCCCTTCAAACAATTGCTTTGCTTGGGAATGATCTAGCAGTAGATTATTTACCAGGAAAAATAACAGCTGGGGAAAGAACTGGGTTAGGTTATGTCAATGTGTAGAGCAGAATGATTCTGCTTTATCTTCAAGTCACAACATTAACATGATTTATGATAATTAAATAAATTATGATAGTGTAATGTTAGCTAAAGTATTCTTGACCTACTTACTTGATGTTGAACTGCAACTTCCAGCATTCTTCAGAATTGGCTATCTTGAAAAATGCTGTGCCTTGCACAACAATAATATCTGGAAGACCATAGGATTCCTCTTCTGGTGTAAGAAAAGGCATGTATGAGAATGGAGAGGAATAAAACTTTTTATTCAAAATTCTGTGGGGGGAAATTCCATATTACTATGTTTTCTGTATTTGTGGCTTTGAAAAATAACACAAATTGTTTAGATTATTGATACTCTCTTTTTGCTGACATACTAGGTCCCTCTTCCCAGGTTTTGAAGGAAGATTACTTGCTGATGACTTAAAGCCTCATATTATGGCTGCTTTGAAAGAAGCTGCCAAAAGCAGAGGTAAAATGTGTACATATTATTCATTGTAATAAAAGGGAACTGCATTGAGCAGCAGTACATATGGTACAAGTTGATTAGGACATTAAAATTTCAAGAATTGATATAAATCAAAGGAAAAATGAAATACAGTTTTCCTCCATTTTCGTGGACTT